TTTCCTCGAAATATAAATGCACTCTTAAATACTCATAAATACAGGTGGCCATGGAATAATTCGTAGTGATTTGCTGCAGATATAGCAGGATTATAAATAAAATAGCCTGACTCCAGTAAAATAAAAAGTTTTCCCTTAATATGTACGGCTTTAGCTGGGGTAAAGATACCGTTTCATCAGGTTGCATAGGCTTTCAATGGTACATTTTCTTAATTGGTGAAATTGCAGCGGTTGAAGGCCACCAAATGCCCCACGGACGAGCTCTCGCTCACCAATCGAGCCATTGTCAATGTGGGGGACTTTCCCGACGATGTGAAGTAAGTTCAAAAATCGATTGGAGAAGCGTTTGACTACTTAATGCGATGTTTATCCCAAAAGGTACGCGGACATCTCTCCGGCTCCCGGGCAGCACTTCATCTTCGCCCTGGAGAAGACGGTGGAAGTGCCCCGCGGCTATGTGGGCTTCTCCCTGGTGCAGCGCAAGTGGGCAATGGTGTCCATCAATCAGGAGCTGGAGGTGCGACCTTACCGTTTCGACGCCAGCTCTGATGTCATTACCTGTGTGTCCTTCGAGACGGACTTTCTGCAGAAGAAAACGTGAGTAGATCGATAGGCTATGAAATCGGCAGAAATCGGTGCAAAGAAAGAATCGAATTCTGTTCACTTCCTCCTCAGCGTGTCCCAGGAGCCCTACGACTCAGACCTGATGGCCAAGGAGTTCATAATGCAGTTCGCCGGCATGGCCCTCACCGTGGGTCAGTCTCTGGTGTTCAACTTCAAGGATAAGAAGCTGCTGGGCCTGGCCGTCAAGTCGCTGGAGGCCATCGACCCGAAGACACTGGGGGAGGGCAAGGAGGCTGCCTTGCGCAACGTCCGCTTCGGAAGAATCCTAGGAAACACGGTGGTGCAGTTCGAGAAGGCTGAAAACAGCTCGCTGAACTTGCAAGGGAAGTCCAAGGGCAAGGTGGTGCGCCAGTCGATCATCAATCCGGACTGGGACTTCGGTAAAATGGGCATCGGCGGCCTGGACAAGGAATTCAACTCCATTTTCCGGCGGGCCTTTGCCTCGCGAGTCTTCCCCCCCGAACTGGTCGAGCAGCTGGGCTGCAAGCACGTTAAGGGCATCCTCCTCTACGGTCCACCGGGCACGGGCAAGACCCTGATGGCCCGCCAGATCGGAACTATGTTAAACGCCCGCGAGCCAAAGATCGTGAACGGACCGCAGATCCTGGACAAGTACGTGGGCGAGTCGGAGGCTAATGTCCGAAGACTGTTCGCTGAGGCCGAGGAGGAGGAGAAGCGGCTGGGGCCCAACAGCGGCCTGCACATCATCATCTTCGACGAGATCGATGCCATCTGCAAGCAGCGTGGTTCTGTGGCAGGGAACAGTGGAGTGCACGACACCGTCGTCAATCAGCTGCTCACCAAGATTGATGGTGTCGACCAGCTGAACAACATCCTCGTAATCGGGATGACCAATCGTCGGGACATGATCGATGAGGCCCTGCTCCGACCGGGTCGTCTCGAGGTCCAAATGGAGATCAGTCTGCCCAACGAGCAGGGACGCGTGCAGATCCTCAACATCCACACCAAGCGAATGCGCGACTTCAACAAGATCAACGATGACGTCGACTGCAAGGAAATCGCTTCCCTCACCAAGAACTTTAGCGGAGCCGAGCTGGAGGGTCTTGTGCGTGCGGCCCAGTCCAGTGCCATGAATCGCCTGATCAAGGCCGATGCCAAGGTCACCGTCGATCCCGAGGCCATTGAGAAAATCAAGGTGAATCGGGATGACTTTCTGCACTCCCTGGAGAACGACATCAAGCCCGCCTTCGGAACGGCCCAGGAAATGCTCGAGAACATGGTGGCCCGGGGCATCATCAACTGGGGCACTCCCGTTAGCAATTTGCTCGAGGACGGCATGCTGTACGTCCATCAGGCCCAAGCGCCCGAGTCAAGCGGTCTTGTTTCTGTGCTTATTGCCGGTGCCCCTAACTCGGGAAAAACTGCGCTGGCCGCCCAGCTGGCCAAGATGTCAGACTTCCCCTTCGTTAAGGTCTGCTCCCCGGAGGACATGGTCGGCTATACAGAGTCGGCCAAGTGTCTGCACATCCGCAAGATCTTCGACGACGCCTACCGTTCCACTCTCAGCTGCATCGTGGTGGACAACGTGGAGCGACTGCTCGACTACGGTTCGATTGGGCCGCGCTACTCCAATATGACACTCCAGGCCCTTCTCGTGCTACTCAATAAGCAGCCGCCCAAGGGCCGCAAACTCCTCATCTTGTGCACCTCCAGCAGGCGGTAAGTTCCCGTCCGTCCCCCACATACCTAATGCACTCGAAGGATCTAATTTCTGTACTCGTTCTCCCCAGTGAGGTGTTGGAGGAGATGGAAATGCTGACCGCCTTCACCTCGGTTCTGCATGTGCCGAACCTCTCTAGTCCTGAACACGTCTTGGCCGTTCTCGAGCACACTGACCTCTTCAACAAGGGCGAAGTCCAGGCCATTGGCAAGAAGATGGCTGGCAAACGGTAAGAATATAAGCCGCACACATCTGCAACATTGCGTTTCTATCTGTTTGCTTGAAGATTCTCGTATTTTGTTATTTATGCAGTGCTTAAATAGCGAGGATGGGATATCCATATGTGAGCCTTTATAATGAAAGATACCGTTTATCTGTTTTCCAGCGTCTTCATTGGGATTAAGAAGCTGCTGGGCCTGATCGACATGGCCCGACAAACAGAGCAGTCGCAGCGGGCCATCAAGTTCCTTTCCAAGATGGAGGAGGAGGGCGGCCTGGATATGGTGGCCCGACAATAAGCCGTCACCCTTCTCTCCTGCTGTCTCAATTATTAGCTTCTAAGTGCAATGACGGGAAAGAATGTCAACTCCAAATACTCGTATAGACCGCTAAAATTATACTCAATATACATATACACAATACATATGATATGATCCCACAAATATTCGAGCTAGGATGGTGTTGTTTGTTCGGTCCCAGTCCAAAGAGTTTCCCGCGTCCTGTGCCCCAACCAGAGCGCAATCAAATCGACAGATATGTGAGACCCGTGACCTGATAATGGCTGATGGAGCGAAAGATTATTCAATTATATATCATGGCCGTCTAACTCGTTAATAGCATAATATATTCACTCTCGTTCGTTTTGGCAGCAGGAGGACAATCTTTCTCGTTATTATTGATTAGGCCGCAGAGGCCACGGAGGAAGAGATGAGCTTGAAAAATAGGATCTTTGTGAAATACCTATAAGACAGGCTTATCGATACATACATACATATGTGTGTGAATATGTGCTTAGATACAATGAAATGCATATGTACACCAAACTAAATTACAAGTTAAATATTGTTAATCGTCAATGTTATAGATATACCTTTGAGGAGGAACGACGCCGAAAGAAGCCTGGATAAGGAACAGAGAAGGTCGTTTATGTATGTACAATACGCTAAGATTCGTTAATAGCCTAATAATCTCTCTTGCTAATTAATTAATTTAATGTGGAAATTTATCCAAGCATAATATTATTATTATTATAATTATTATAATATTACTACCAAATATAATATATTGTTCACCGAAAATGTTATAAATATATCTCCAATAAAGAATAACAAAACTACATACTATTTGGCTACAAATTTAGCTCTAAAGAGTCTTGGAGTTGACTTGAATCGCTGAACCAAAGTCGGATAGGAACAAATATGGCAGATCATCTACCATTCAATAGCCAATGAATAAATACGCTTCCAGAAACCTATTTGAAGATGAGTCGTACATTTTCGAACATGTCTTACAGCATTGCCTCGAAGTTGCCGCAAATAGCCACAAGCTGCCGCATTTTGGGAGTGTTGGACAAAATACTTTTACATTATATAGTCAGGAATTAAAACGAGGGGGAACGTTATGAGTTGCTGCGGACACCGCAACTCTACAGTTATACCCGATACTAAGTCAGTATGGCTCTCCTCCGGCAGACGCCGCTAATATTAAACGAAACTACAAAGAGTGCGAGAGAGACAGAAAATCAGTCTGAGCGTGACGTCGGGCGCTGCGTAGCCAGTGCAATTTGATTTGTTCCTTTTGGCTATAAAAATTATCTGATATGATCCAGACTCAGCAACCGGATAGTCATTCTCTATGATTCTGCGTTTTTAGTTTTCTCGAATCTGCAATATTGTGGATGCAACAGATTTTCGTCTTTTGTGTGGGCGGAAGGGGGTGGGGCGAAATTTTGACATAAAACGGTCAAGGTCCGATATCACAGGAGTGTGGATACCAAATTTGGTTGCTCTAGCTCTTATGGGTTCTGAGATCCTTGAACTCATATTTTGCAATTGGCAAAACCGACCATGAAACCTGTGTGTTAGAGAGAGACAGAGCGAGAAAGAATGAAATTGTTTTCTTGATTCTGGCTATAATAATTACACGATCTGGTTCAGATTTTGCACTTTAGAAGATATAGTCATCTTCTACGATTCTGCGTTTTTAGTTTTCTCGTATCGTCGAAATTGTGGATGCCACAGATTTTCGCCCTTTGTGGGGGCGGAAGTGTGCGGCGCAAAGATTTGAAATATTCTTGTAGCAGTGACATATCACAGAAGTCTGGATCCAAAACATCGTTGCTCTAGCTCTTATAGTCTTTGAGCACTAGGCGCTGAAGGGGACGGACAGACAGACATGGCTCAATCGACTCGGCTATTGATGCTGTTACACACATCCACTTTTACCACAAATCTAATATACCCCATTACTCATTTTGAGTATCGGGTATAAAAATTGGTTTGGGCACACGATACTTGGCAGAGTTGCCTTGGTTGCCAGAGGGATACCTGTGACAGATGCGTAGTATTCGCAGGATTCCTGAAATAGAAAGGGACGGAGAATAGCAGCCACCTGGCAACGGAGTTGGCTATTGCCTCATTGTTTTGTTGTTTTGCTGTTTTGATATTTTGATGTTTTGATATTTTGTTGTTTTGCTGTGTTATATCACATATCCCACATCGAAAATGGTGCGCAGTAAGTAGACCACAGTTGCCATTGCCGTGATTCCCAGTGGCAATCAGAAACTAGAAACCGCAGCTGACTTCAATCCTCTCACAGTCACGGAGGAGCTGGTGCGCAAGAAGTCGGAGCACAATGAGCGGATGATCAGCACGCTAGAGGAGATATCGCTGCACCAGGAGGACATCGAGCGCATTGAGCATGTGCAGAACTGGTGTAAAGACCTCAAGATCCTGCTCCTTCAGTCGAACCTCATTGCGCGCCTGGAGAACTTGCACAAACTGAAGCGACTGGAGTACCTTAACTTGGCCGTGAACAACATCGAGCGCGTCGAGAACCTGGAGGGGCTTGAGTCGCTCAACAAACTGGATCTCACGCTCAACTTCATCGGTGAGCTGACCGGCGTGGAGTCACTGCGCGGTAACTACAATCTGCGGGAGCTCCTGCTCATCGGAAATCCCTGCGCGGACTACCCGCACTACCGCGACTACGTGGTGGCCACCCTGCCGCAGCTGCAGAGCCTCGATAGTCAGGAGATCACGCCCTCGGAGAGGCTGCAAGCCCAGCGGCAACTCTCCCAGCATCGCGCCGTTATTGTGCAGTGCCAGGCGAACCAGGCCATCGAGCGGGATGAGCAGCGAGTACGCGTAGCGGAGCAGCAGGCGGCGCTGGCCGATCAATGCGCCGACATTAAGGACGAGGAAGAGCGTACGCGCACCTTCTGGAACGCCAAGAGCGAGCACTGCCCGGAGATACGCACAGAGATCGCCCGCCAGCACCGGCTGGGCAGGGAGAAGCATGAGCCGAAGTCGTCACAGCCACACGCCAAGCGGCAGCCGCATCTCTTCGCCCCATGTGGACGTCCTTATAACCTGAACCAGGCCAAGCTGCCCTTCAACTTTCAGGATGAGCCGGCTCACTACTCGCTCCAGCTACAGGTGTACAGGTGGGCAGCTTCTTCGATTTTCTCCCATCCCAGTTCATGCTCCTCATAACGTGTTCCCTCTTGTCCACAGACATCTGGACACTGCCCTGATCGATGTGGATGTCCAAACCAACTACACGCGAGTCATTGTCAAGGGCAAGATCTTTCAGATTGCCTACAACGAGGAGGTGCAGCCAGGTGAATCCACAGTCCAGCGATCTCAGACCACGGGCCATTTGATGATTCTACTGAAGAAGCTGAAGGTCAACGAAATGCTGACTATCAAGCGTAGTCCGTCCAAGGGGTACGTCCAAGGCATGACATCTGATATAGCGCGCGATATGACTGTCTGATCCTGTTCTAAACGGATCCCTTTCTCTCTCTCTCTCTTTCTTCCCACTGTGCAGGGCTGTACACACTGCTACTGCGGTGCAGACAGGACACGATCCGGTGCCCCTCCGCGGCGCTGTGGACATTGCGAACATTTGTCCGCCCGCCGATCTACCAGATTTGATTTAAGCCAAATCTGTTTTTCTTTGAACGGTTTAGTTCAGCAGTACTACGTATTGGGTTCTGCTACGTTCATTATCACTCATTCAATCAGTGTCCTACCATATTATTGTTTTGTCCATAGTCCAATTTTTTTACACATACACACGTAATATAATAAAGAGAGAAATATAAGGAATGTTTAACGAATATCTGTATGTTAAATTGAATATATTTACACATATGTATGTACTACATATGTATATGCATATTGTTGTTGTGGAATTTTTATTTGAAGTACATCTTTTGGTAAGAGCTTAGATATGTACATACATTTCCCGACTTAATTATATATAATAGGAAGTGTTATAAAATAAGTAAGATATCTAAACAATGCATGCATCCGAAGAGTACAACGAATCATCTTGGGCGTTCCATCTCTTTCGTTCTTTCCGATAGATGTATCCATTGCTTCTATCTTTCTGCAGTCTCCATCTCTGTTTGACATAGCATTACCGTAGAATACCTAGCCAAATAAACCCAGTCTATCCAAATGTTGCAATTATGTTTTTATAAGTGTTTTTACCAGCCATACAATAAAGTCGTAGTGGAATACGGCCAAAAAGGAATATTAAACATAAATTTCTAACGATCAGGGCATGCCTAGTGAAACTTAAGACTGTAACTTTTTTCAGAAACTGTGGATGTTGCAGCAACCTATAACATTTGTTTTGCATATAATATAAGTGTCTTCTTTTCATGGGGGCCAATTCAATCTGGGATTGAAAAAACATCGAAGTCTGTCTTATATCAAAACATCGATGACATCGACGTTACTATCGATATTTCGTCGGAGATGGAGAACCATCGGTTCAGTCGATAGTACCACCGATGCTTTTGCAGCCAGGGTGACCGTTTACCGTATTTTTGATACTTTTCGGTATTTTTTGGGGTCCATAACGAGCCGACGGTATATTTACGGTATATTTCGGTAAATTAAGCAATTTTTCGGTATATTAAGGTAGATGGTAACACATTTTCGAGAAGCCATTAAGTTAGGGAACTCCCGCCATTAACAAGAGCTATACAAAATAATGAGCAAAGATTTTAAACAAAAGTACAGACAGGAGTGGGAGTCTCAGCCCGATACAAAGACATGGCTCTGCAGAAGTAAAAATGCAGACGATGCTCATTGCAAGGGTTGCAATGTTGATATTTTGAGTCGGATAGCATCAATTAGACAGCACGCTGCCACTCACTAGTGTTGGGTAAACATTGCTCATTTTGGTGAACATGTTCACTTTTTCTTTTTTAGTAAGTGAGTTAACTCACTCATATTGCTCACTTGCTCTCTTAGATTGCTCAGTTCACTTGTTCACTTGCTCAGTTGCTGACTTGCTCTCTCAGTTGTTCACTATTCATGCACAGATGGTTCCAAATTTACCTATACTTTCAAATTTGCGATATAGTGAATTTTTCAAAAGAGTAAACAGCTTTGCCGGTAATACAAAAAGTGTGAAGTAAACGCAAATATGAGCAAAGCTCCCAGATCGCAAAATGCCCTTTGAGGAGCAAAATTGCGCAAAAAGTGAATAGAGAACAAGTGAGTAAAAATGAACAAGTGAGTAAAATGAACAAGTGAACAACAAAGAACAAGTGAGCAAAAAAGAACAAGTGAACAACAAAGAACAAGTGAACAACAATGAACAAGTGAACAAAAAAGAACAACTTGGAAGGAACATGTTCAGTTGCTCACTTAAGTGAACAACTCTTTTTTGTTCACTCACTCATGAGCAACACAACACTACCACACACAAACATAAGGAGAAAATTAAGTTCTTGTGTGGCCAATCTAAGGTATATTCAAACTTTTTTTTGTATTCGCTATGTTATACTTGTATAAGCGGTTTTCAATAATAGATTGATTCGTTTGTGGAGGATACAAGCAAATGTTGCGACTAGAGTGAGAAGAGCTGAATTGCTGTTTGTTGCTGCTGCAGCAAAGCAAATGGTTCGGTTCTTTTTCTAAAGTGTGTTTGCCACTCAGTAGCTCTCGCTTCTAGTTATGCTTGTAAAATGATACCAAGAAGTCTAGAGCAAACGATTAAGGATACATTCAATTCCTTTTCTAAGAACTCGAAGCGGCACAGAAAATTTAAGGCATTTCAAAAATTTCTAAATTCCCCGGAGCACCAAATACTCAATCATTATGAAATTCGCTGGTTGTCTCTGCATTCTTGTATTGCACGTGTGATTGAGTAGTGGGATGCACTTGTTCTTTTTTTTTGAGTACGAATTGGCCATAGAAAAAAATGTATCTGCTGAAATACACTCTCTCAAATTTAAAAAGCGTTTCAGTCAAATTATATTTATACTTTCTAGACTATATTTTGCCTATAATAAATAGATTTAATATCATTTTTCAGCCTAGCAAAGCTGTAACACAAATAATATATAAAAATATGTCTGAAACTTATAAGTTAATATTAAGCTGTTATTTGAAAGACTTATATATAAGGAATACTGACTTAAGTGTACTAGATCCAAGCAGCAATGTTAATTTCGTAGAATTCCAAAAAGTTAATTTGGGCATTAATGTAAGCCTCGAAGTGTCAAAATTAGAAAGAAATGAAAAATATGAATTTTTCCAAAGAGCACAGTCATTTTTGATCGAGTTGAGTATACAATTAAAGAAAAGGTTGCCTTTTAACGAGAAGGTTTTTAAACTTCTCTCATTCCTAAACCCTGAAGACATAGTCAATGGCCAATTATCAGATTTGCATGACCTGTATAAAAGATCCGCAGAGAATCGATAATGAATTTGTCCTCTTAAAAAATGATGAGGTTCTTTTTAGTTTATTAAAAACACACAAAAGTCCTGGCCATTTCTGGTATACATTGGGACAAATAAAGGACTTCAACAATGAATTGAAATATGAACAAATTTCAAAATTTGCACAAGTACTGCTTATATTGCCAGTCCGAAGTGAACTTAATAAAAACAAATACAAGAAATAGATTTAAGAGTATTAATGTTTCAAATCTTTAATATGTGAGACAAGGTCTACGGAAGAACAACGGTTGCGAGAATATTGAACCGAACACTGAAATGCTGTTAAAAAATCCCAGCGACATCGTTAGTGACGATAGTGCTGTTAGTGATTAGTATATTATTAAGACTTTATTATTAATAATAAGTCTTATTAAGACTTAAGATTATTAAATGAAATGAATGAAACAATTATTTCGAATAGGCCAATCAAGTAGGAAATAGATTCACCAATCGTATAAAATTATGTGGGCATGGCTAAATCTTCCATATAGCTGATATTCTACGGAAGATCAAAATTGAGGGTCGTCGTATTTGTTGAATCGGTAATGGCCCGGTTGACAACATTTAAATCCTTCTCGCTCACATTCAAAAAAGTTAGTTAGGCGCGCAAAACTCGTAACCAGTCGATATACAAAATACAATACTTACGAGCAATTTAAAGTTGTAGAAAATGTATTCATCGATGGGATAAAGCTAAGTGGGCAAAGCTTAAAACTCTATATAGCTTGTAATATTCGACGGAAGATATTTTTGGCAATACCCGGTTCGCAGCAATGAGTTCCATACACAAACATGTTGCTAGTTCCATGTACTCATACCCTGGGGGAAATGGATGTTATAGAATTGTGAATATGTTTGTCATCCCAGGGAAAAACAATTTATTTTCAATATATTTTAATATTATTCAATAATTTTTAATATTATTTTCAATATTTCAACGATATTTTAAAGCTTATTGTCTTCTTGTAGGGACCAAGAATAGGTATCAGGATCGAGATATATACAAAACACTCATCATATACATGAATATGTCTAAAAAATGTCAATTTGAGAAAAGGTCTTTATAAGTTACGTTTTATCTTCATATCAATATATGTATGTACTTTCATATAAAATTAACAAAATAGGGTATACAAAACGCAATATAGCGACTCTTTTTTTGTTGAACTTTTTCGTTTAAACCTTTTTTTACAATAAATACAATAAAAGCAAGGATTAAAAACTATCCAATCTTGCAGAAAATTTATTCATCAATGGGATAAAACTATGTGGGCATTGCTCAGAGATTTAGTTAGTCAGCATTATTCAATGGAATATAAAAATTGAGCAATTTCCTTTTTAGTTTGTTTTGATTGACCTATTTCGCTACTGGTTTTTTGTTTGACTTATTTCGCTAAAACCTCATTTTACGCAAAATGCAATAAAAACAAGTATTAATAATACACCAGTTAAATAGATTCATCAATCGTATAGAATTATGATGATTATGAATTCGTCAGTATATTTACGGTATATTTTGAAAATGAGGCGGTATGTTTCGGTATATTTCTGAGGGTCGGACGGTATATTTTATCGATAAATCCGCGGTCACACTGCCCAGCTGTTCGGCCATACACACGCACGTGCTGTAGCGTCGCCTTCTTAACTTGTATTTTCCATATTTGGCTACTGTTTTGGGACGCCGTCCCCTCCGCACTCCACACTCCGCACACCAAAAGCTGCACAAACAACGCCGCATAAGCCGCCGAAATGGGCAAGAACAAGCGCAAAAACAAGCAGCAACAGCAGCAGTCGCCGTCGCTGGTCCAGACGCCAACGCAGACGCAGTCGGAAGCAGCCTCTGGATCCGCTTCGGGGACGACCTCGGCATCGGGCTCCGCTGCGGGTAATCAAACAAGCGAGAGCCATATCGTTCAGGACAAGAACAAAATCGATGGAAAGCGCTTCCCCAGCTTAAGTGGCCGGCGGGGCGAGCTGAACGCACTAGTTGTGCGCCTCTTGGAGCTGGTGGCCATGCAGCCGGCCAATCCCAACGAAGAGTGGAAGCAGTATGTGGAGCTGCAGCTACAGCTGCAGCGAATCATGGTGCTGGAGGAGCCGTTGCAGAAGGCCGTCTGCCTGGATGCCACCGACGACCAGTCGCGCCAGGCGAAAGTTACCGCGTTTAGCGAATGGGCCAAGGCGGGCGGCGTGAAGACCGACTGTCTGGAGATAGCCATCTTTCCTGGCTATCAGCTGGGCCTGCGTGCCACCCAGGACATCGCCGCCGAGCAGCCAGTTTTGAGCGTGCCACGAACGCTGATCTTCTCCGAGGAGCACTTGCCCGAGACCGACCGCAAGCTCTTCTGCAACTTTCCGCTTCTGACTAACTTCAACCTGGCGTACGCCCTGGTCATCGAGAAGGTGCGCGGCCCGGATAGTGTCTGGCGTCCCTACATCGACGTCCTGCCGGCTCGCTACAACACCGTCCTCTACTTCTCTATCGAGCAGATGCAGCGGCTCCGCGGCACCGCTGCCTGCACCTCGGCCCTGCGCCAGTGCCGCGTCATTGCCCGCCAGTATGCCAACATGTACAAGTGCGCCCACATTCGGCCCGACGCCAGTAGCGCCTCCTCGATGGGCGTGCTCTTCACCCAGCACGGCCTCTGCTACGAGCTCTACCGGTAAGTGATCCCATTCCGATCTGATCGAATCTTCTCCGAATTCCTGCAATAATCGATTTGTGGTTCCTTAACAGTTCCCGAATTGCGCCTAAAACACTCTGCTACGATTGTTCATTTAACATGGTGTGTACCTGTTGAAGCACACTGTTATCAGCAATGAAAACCTGCAGTGCCTGTGCTAACACATTGCTACAACAGTGCAGCTAACAGACCGGCAATCCAGTCGATTTTGCAAAGTATATTTTGCACTTCTGCAGCTGCAGCTGTTTGCAACGAACGGAAGGAAGAATCTCCGACCCTATGAAGTGTATATGTACATTTTTATATATCCCTGATTATCGTAAATGGGCGATCAGATATAGCCGTCCGTCGCTCCGTCTGTCTGTTTCTATAGAACTTTGTCTTGAACTTTGCACAGAGGTCTTTTGAAGTTTTGAATAATAGTGTGGATAATATATCATATCAGTATTCATAAGAACGATCGGTCAAAAGTTGTGGGAGAATCCGTCCGACTTGTCGGGTATACAATCTTCGGACCGCCGAAGTTTGATTCTTTCGTGGTTTTTTCAAAGCTATTTAGCTTCTTCAGAGAACCTTCTCTGAGCTGCTATATAATACTGCTGCTATAATAACGATCCCTCGATCCCACGATCGAACCAAAGTTACATTGGATGAGTGCCTCTCAGTCCGTCGGAGAGGTCTGTAGCCATCTGGTTTTTTTTTTGACCTGTCTGAACTATGTACTTTGTGTCGATGTCTCTATGTCTATGTGTCTTTACATATACGCATTTCCCCCTATTTGATAGATCTATGTATAGATCTATAGACCTGTAGGTCGTGGATCTGCTTCCCTGTCTGGTGTTCCTCGCTTTTGTGATGGGGAAATATTTGGAAGTCTTTGCCACAGTTTGCTCTACAGTTTATTTCTCAAAAAAAATCAAATTCAAACTTATTTACATACATATTTGAGCGTGCTTAAACATACATATTTTTATATTTATTTGTATATATATATATATATATTGGTATATCTATGTATATACTCGTACGGTCGACAGATATTCTAGTGTATAGGACTCTGGAGTAAGCAGGGGGTGGATGGGGGGAATGGAGTGGGGTCGAGGCTGGTTGGAGAAAATCAAAATCAAAAGTGCCTGCAGCTAAAAAATAAATCAATTCTCTTATTGTTCTTGCAGTGCACTGAACATTTATACTATTAGTGTTGATTTAGTTGTTGTTGTTGTTGTTGTGCTTGTGACCACACCCATCTATGTATATATTTGCCCCAATCTAATATGAAATTCCCTCTTTTATTCGAGTATTAAAATTTGGTTTCTTTTCTTTTTTCGTCAGTGCCAAAGAAGGTGTTTCTTTTCTTTTCGATTCGTTTTGTTTCTTTTAATTCCTCTTAATTTTTGTTCGTTTAATATTTATTGTCCTCATAAATGGTTTTGCTTTCTCGAATTTCCTTATCTGGTATTCGATTTGGGCTCTGTGCTGTGGATCGTGCGAACACAACAGTACTGTATTTTATCTGGCTAAGATTCTTTGCTACTTCTATTCGATCTATAAACTTTTTCGCTTGGTGCTTTAGAAACCCATTGGAATGCCGTGTCCTATGTATGTATGTCCTGCTCGAAGGAGTCGCAATAGTTGATGGTCTATAGTGCTGCGTAGATCTGGAGTAGTTCGAAACGACAGTTTGCCGAGCTTACAGACAAAGTACAGTAGCGTTCATGGCCATGAGACAGTGTTCAGAGGGATGTCTTTGTGATGGGCTTTGTCTCTGTTTTCTCTTCTTTGTTTTTTTTAGGAATTCGAGCTTGGAGCTTAGGCTTGCGAGTGGGTTTCGTCCCACAGCTATGAAACGCATTGTACATACGTGTATGTATGTGTGTGTGTGTGTGTATTTGTCTTTTCGCTAAGTTTAGGTTAGTTTTACTTTCTCTCACAGAATGTTCGTTCGCTTGAAGAAATTCCTCTACTCGAAATTTGACCACAAAAAAAATGTTTCATTCTTTTTTTTTTTTTTCTTAAACTAATCTAATTAATCATCTAAATTGTATTCTCTCTATATATATATATATATATATATATATATATATATATATATATGTGTCTGTGTGTGTGTGTGTGCGTGTGGGGAATCTGTGGATGTATGTATATTTGTATAAAACTTGGCCTAAACAGCAAAACCTATCGCCGGTGATCGCTCTATCGATAGTTGAGTGAGCCTGCCTAATAATCGAACGATTTGCGCAATGTGTCGAAGAGATACTCCTGCACCTCCGGCGAGTTGGGGTCCATGGTATTGAGCTTCTGGTGAGCACTGCGCAGCGACAGGGCCAGCGAGGCGGATGCCGAGCTACTGGAGCTACCACTGGCCACTGCTCCCTGGGACCGTCCACACAGCGCTGCTGTGGGTGGCGGTGCACCGCTCGCGGTGGTACCCGCTGGCCCAGCCCCAGCTGTCGTGGTCAGGGAGGTGGCAGTGCTCAAGGTTGACGATCCGTCGCGTGTGAAGAGCATGGAGCTCTGCCGCTGGAGCTGGTGGACGGGCGTGCAGCAGGAGACGGCAGTCGAGATGCTCGCAATGCCCATTCCTGCTCCTCCTCCTGCGGCTCCGCCTCCCGATGACGATGACGCTGCCGCTGCCGCTGTCGCCTCTCCTCTGCTGGAGCCAATGACCAGTTCCTCCATGTGGTGGCGCATCGAGGAGCGACGCGAGGCCGAGGCGACCGTCTGGGCCATCTGGGGAAGCTTGCTCTTCATCGCGTTGTAGGTCTTCAGATAGCTGCTTTTGCGTCGGCGATGCTGCTTCCAGCGACAGACCACAAAGATCACCAGGAAGGTAGCCAGTGCGGTGATCACAATGGCAGCACTGGCCACAATCGCCGATCGAATGCCGGACGGCATACTAGCGTATAGGGTGCCCAAATGCTGTTGGGACACCGAGGTGGCCGCCGCAGCCGCCGGACTGCGATGGAATCCGGGACCGGAGAGCTCCAGGTCGAGAAGATCGTGAGCCCGGGCCACCTCCTCTTCGATCTCATCGATCACATTGTCGTTCGGTGCCAGCTTGGTGTTGGCCAGCTGCGAACTGTTCAGTCCTTCGCCTCCTGCTCCGCCGTAGGGACTCACACTCAGGTCGATGTCGATGCTGCTGGGCTCCTGCTCATCCGGCTCCGTGTCCACCTCCACCTCCTGGGCACTGCCGTTCCCATCGAGCAGCAGTCGCGGCGGTGGCAAAAAGTAGGGACTCCGCTCCTCGGTCGCCGTGGACAGGGAGGCCAGAGCCAGCGTCTTCCACGAGGGGAAGAACCCGAGCGACTTCTCTCCGCGTGAATGCTGCTGCTTGTGCTGGCCGTTGAAGGATACTCCTGCTGAGGACAATGATGATGATGCGGATGCGGATGATGTCGGTGCATAGGCGGGTCCTGCAAATAGACGAAAGCGAGAAGCGGAGAGATGGTGGGGGCGGGAGAGCAGACATACAGAGTGGATCAGGGATAAAGCTTCTTTTGCGTCTGTGTTTATCTGTAATTGAGTGTGTATATGGTGTGTGTGTGTGTGTGTGTGCGTGGCGTGTGCGTGTCTGTGTGTGTGCGTGTGAGTGCGGCGGTTGCAGCGAGCTGTCGCGTGTGTTGTGTCTAGGATTGCCGGGGGACATTGCCACAACTGGCTGTGGGGCACACCACCTGTGTATCAATCGATCCATTCATGGGGGTACACTCCCGACTATTGATACATTTTCAATGAGCGATTCGATGCAGCTTATGGATTGATAATCGAACCATCATCTTTATCAATTTATTCAGAGTATTGAGAGTTAATGAGCTTGTGTTTGAAATGAATATTCAATATTTAACCGATACTCTTAATTTACGAGTACTACTGGTATTCCTGGCGAGCAGCTCCGCCTGGCTATTGCCTAGAAATGGTCATCGGTCATCTCGGAAGCATCGATGATGGCTATCGATACACCTGTGAGAGGGAGGTGCGCCCCCTGCCAGCCGCCATTCGAATATCCCTCGCACTCCTAGCCGTTACTTACGTGTGCTTCTGGTGTGCTGAGCCGCTGCTGCTGCTGATTGATAGATAGACTGATTGATTGATTGATTGATTGAGAGGCCGCGGCTCAGCACAGCTCAGCACACTCCAAACAAACAACAAAAGGGGGACGGGACACTCGCGCCGACCAACTCACTGCCGCCGCTGGTGCTGCTGGCGTTGCTGCCACCGCTGGCGCTGGCGTCGGAGCCGCAAGGCGGTAATACCTCGGTTGCCGGGCTTCTCGCTGTCGTTCGGCTCGATGTCTATGATTGAGGTGAAGTAGCTGGAGCCCTGCGAGTCCGTCTTGATCTCGTCGGGCTTGACGCTCTTCAGGTCCATCAGGTTGAAGTGGGGGAAGTTCTCAAAGGCCGTGACAATGTCCATGTTGTCCTGCAGCACCACCTTCTGGCCAGGGTAGAAGCGTGAGTGCTCATCGCCCCCGCTCACGATTGTGGACAGGTGCAGCTGGCTGGAGCCGCGCTTTCGGTGCTCGATCAGCTCCTCGAGGGTCATGTTCCGCTGCTCGAGCACCTTGAACAGGCGGTTCCCCGATCGTCGATCCTCGATCAGTTCCAGGAGATCGGTGCGATCATCTACGTCGTCCACCAGACTCACTGGCGGCTGCTGTGCTGGTGCAGACGATGATTCAGTTGACGGTTGTGGTTCGAGTGGAATCTGGGCTTGAGATGGTGCTGGTTCTGGTGCGGGCACTCGTGTGTGGTGCGTGTGGCTCTCCACCTCGTCGAAGAAGTTCTCTAGATCATCATCGTTGTAGTTCAGCTCATCACTGGCATTGCCTGGCTGCGGTGGTCCGCCTCCTTCTCCTGCTGCTGCTTCTGTGCTGTTGCTCTTCCCCACTTCTCCCTCAGCATCCATATCCACCTGCACATCTTCGATGCTCTCCACAACATTTCCATCGTAGTGGTGGTGGTGGTGGTGGTGTTGGTGAATGAAGTTGTCCTTGAGCCGCTTTTGGCTCTCCTTGCTGCTGGCGGTGCGCAGCCGGTATCTGGGATTGTTGGTGGTGCTGGCCGTGCTGGCTGGGCTGGCCGGCGATGGGGAAGGTGCTAGTGGTGTTTCCGTGTGGGAGGATTCCCCAGACTCCACTTCGACCGAGTCTGGTTCAGGCTCGTCCTGCTCCTGCTCCTGCTCCTGTGCCTGCTCTGGTTCCTGATCCTCTGACTCCTCAATGCTGTTGGCCAGGGTGCTGGTGAAGATGGGCGTGCTCGTGTCCGCCTCCTGCGTAGTGGTGGTTGCTGCTGTCGTGCTGCTGGTGATGCTGCTGCTGCTGCCGCTGGTGGTGGCAGACTTGAAGAGCCCCGGAGGTTTCAGGGTGGAACGCATGTGCTGCCTCTTTTTGTACAGCGGCAGGCGAGTGGTGCTACTGCTGCTGGGTCCGACCGTGCTGGTGGCGGTGCTGCCCAGAGTGGGCAAAGTGCGCCTTGTGGTGCTGCTCTCCCGCGAAGAGCTGCCGAAGAGCTTCAAGCGCTGAAGTGTTGGAAACTTGGCCCTGGTCCTCAATGACTCCTCCTCGTCGCTCTCGTTACTGTTGCTTTTGCTGGTGGCGCTACTGCTGCTGCTGCTAAGGTAGGCAGGGGGCAGGCGGCGCACTCCCTGCTTGCTCTGGTGGCTCTGCTTCCTGTGGGTCTCCCCCTGTGGCTGGGCGGAGGAGGCCGGGGCTATGGCCGTGGTCTGGAGTGCCAGCAGGGCATTCTGCTTTCCCTTGAGCAGGTCGTCCAGGGAGAGGTTCTTTTGCTGCAGGATCTCACTCAGGCTTAGGCCGCCGGAGTTCTTCAGGATGTTCTTCAGGTCCACCGATGTCTGCAGCTTGACTCCAGTCGGCGCATCCTGCTCCTTCTTGGACTGGCCGTATGGCCGGCGATAGGCCTTGCTCGGACTGCTCGCCTGGACGCTGGCATCCAGAGGGCTGCTGTGGGTGGGCTCCTGCCGATGTCGCTGCTTGTCCCTCTCCCGTTCCAGGGCAGCCATCGGCTCCCTGACTAGGGGCTGCTTGCGCCTCCTGAGAGCCTCCGCATCGTCCTCGACATGTCCACGCCAGTAGGCCGAACTCGAACTCGAACTCGAATCCGCACCCGAGCCAAAGCCAGAGCCAGAGCCAGAGCCAGCTCCCGTGTCATCCTCGGTGGCCCCCATGGGGGCCATCGGCACTTGGGGTCGACGCTTTCGCTTCCGCATGCCCACTGTGGCAGTGCGACGACGATTTCCATTGGCGTTTCCGATCCCATCGTTCCCATCGTTCCCATCGTTGCCATCGCTCCCAGCAGAGCCCTTGCCATCCTCCACAATCAGTGAAACGCCTGTTTGCAGCAGCTGCAGGAGAAAAAGATAGAAGACACGTGTGAGAGGAGTGTTGGCAGAGCACGGGTCTTATCAAATTGCTTTTGCTATTATTATTTCTATGTGTGTGTAGGAGTATGTACATATGTGCGTGTTCTTATAGGTTTATCGTCGGACTGATTGATGGACCGGATTGATTGATGGCACATCTGTACATCTGGCCCGCATTTTGATTTCGATTCCTCCTCCGTTTCACTTCCTCTTATCCTTGTTTGCTCCATGCATGTTAATGCTCCACAAAGGGGCTGCCGGACGCCCAACCCAAAGGAATAGGTCAATCAGCATTGACCTTTGGAACTTGTGCATTCAAGTATTGCATCCAAATTATCGTAAGTCTTAGCCAGCCACGGATGTAAGGTTTTACCTTGAGTGAAACGCGATCGGGATACCATTCATGTACCTACATACGCCCTACACATGTGGGCGTGAGTTCTGGTGGCCGTTGACGGATGCCACTGCAGACTGATGCAGTTTCTCGTCCAGGGTCCGTCGAGGGTTTCCATGTAATGCTGCTACCTATTTGCCATTGCTGATATCCCCTACCGACACACAATGGAGGCGGTCTGTTCTGCCGGACCCCTCCCCCAGATCGTATTCCATCAACTTCGCCGACAACTTTGGAGCTGCTTCCAGAGCAACTTCAGGCTCTTTTATGCTCACGTAATTAATTTTCAATTAGGGCTCAGAGCAGGAGCCCAGGCCGGAGACAGAGACAGAGGCAGAGCTGGAGCAGGAGAAGGAGACGGAGCAGGAGCAGTAGCAGGACGATGTGCTGCCGCTCAGAGGCTGAGATAAAGATGTGCATGCGATTTATGATGACAAGCACAGATAATACATTGTGGATACATGCGGGTGTACATATTGTGCGATGTGTATGTATTAAATTGATTAACTGCCGGACGACCCGGGGCCCATCATCGTCCGCATGTAATCAGACTAATGCAGATTCCTGATACATACATACTCGTATGTATATGCAGGCATATGCGAGCGATGTACATACATCTTCGAGTAGTGCCCCTTGAGGGGAAGATGGGGCTGGGCTGGGATACAAGCTAATAGTGCGGTTTTCAATTGAAAATTTGTCGGTGAATAGCTTTTGACCCGTGCGTGGCTGCGATGGTTGCATGAATAGGATACTATCCTGGATGGATGGCAGACAGAAAGAAATAATTGGAGAAATAATTAACCCAAAAGCCAGTGACAAGAAATGCCAGAGAGAAGTGCCAGGAAAACGAAACTAAATTGTTGACGAAAAACTTTACTTGGCGACGGCAACAAAAACTCATTACACTGAGAAGAGGACTGTCTGTAAGGAAACTGCAAGTTTTCCCCAGTTGCGAAACGAAACTGCCACACAATGCAAAAATAATGAAGAAAATCGGGGATCTGGAGAGCCGGAGAGCTGGCAAGCTGGGATGCTGAGAAACGAAGAATGACACAAACACAGAAAGACAAGAAGTCGAAAGAAAGTCGATGCATAAGCCTGGGAAAATCGAATCAAGGAGAAGGGAGTAGAGAATGCCGGAGACCCGACCATTACACGCATTTCTCTCACGTCATTTGCCGTGACATCTCTCTTTCCTCCACTGTCTGCCTCCGCCTCCGCCTCCGCCTCCTTTCCATCTCCCGGCTTCAATTTTGTTGTTGTTGTTCCTTTTGGTTTTCCTGTTTTGGGAATGCCTGAAAGGAGCCGAGCCGTCTGTCTATGCATGCATAATATAAAAGGTGGACCAAAAAGAGCGACATGAGCCGGCAATCGGATTGTATCGCAGCAGTCTCAACTTGTCCAAAGAACAGACGCGCAAATTTCAGGCCAATCGGAGCAGGCAAACAGCCTTGGTTCTTACACGGGATATACACATTGACCAGACCAGGGAATCAAATATGTACAGCTGTACATCTAAAGATAATATTTGTGTCACCGAATATAACGACCGCACTGATAAGCAGAAATATTTTCTGGGGTAAAGGACTGGCTTTGAAAATGTTCCGATCCCATTAATGAATCCAAGGCTTCAAACCACGGCAGAAAGCCAAATCATGGGGGAGAAGATGTCGACAGCTTGATTCTCTTAAAAACGAGATGCGGAAGAGTTTATTAAATCAATATCCTTGGGTTGATATCCACGCACAGAGCCATGCGGCATTCGTCATGCGGCATGCGGCATGCTGGGACTGGGGTTTCGCACCATAATACTGCCAGGACACACACTGCGAGCCTGTCATGCCTGTCAACGGCAGGCGCTGGCTCAGTAGGATGCTACCAACATTGTCTTTGGCCTTCAGAAGCTACCCCGCTGGAGTTGCCGTTTTTTGTGGCCTAGGCGGGCTAGGCAGCACCCAGTCTTTGGGGTGTAGTAGTCGATAAGTGTCAGGTGAAGCGATGATTTTGTCGTCGATAGGGGTCTCCAAAGGTGGGACAGACACTCAGACAGGCAGCAAGCCTGAGGCAGCAAGTACAGATATCAGATATGGCCGGACAACAGAAGTCACCAGAGCCAATAGTCTGCCTACCTAGCGACTTAAGAGCGCATTCAAGCTCATTTATCCGCTTAACTGTGGCAAAGGGAAGTGGCGGTGGCAGTGGCAGTGGCAGTGGCAGTGGCAGGAAGGATGAGACTTATGAATGCTGATTAACTTTTGCCGAGGTAAAGTCGGCTCAAAGACCCTGAGCCCGCACACTCACTTGGGTCTCTCCAGCACTGGCATTGCCAGCTGATAAGTTATTACTTTTATTAAAAATATTCGCCCACTTTCAGTCTGTGGAAAGCGGAAAGTAGAAGTTGGGTCCCGCCATTGGGACACAACAGCCAATACAAAGGAAAAGGTTGAGAGAAAAAAGTTGATAGAGATCCTCGTCCTCCTTTTGCTCCCTACTCCTTGGGACTTTCGCAGAGTTTTTTGGTGATATCACAAGCCAGAAATAAATACAGCCAACAGAAAAGAGCCAACTTCTGCCTTCTGCTGGTGTTGTTTTTCTGGTTTCGGTTTCGGTTTTTGTTTTTGCTCTGATTCTGGTTCTGGTCCTGCTCTTGTTCATGGTGATTTCTAACAAAGTGAGTGGCGGCGAGGCCAACCCTTGGCCTCCTCTTTAACCACTTCAAAGAAGTTGCTGCTTTTCATAATTAAATTGGAAAATTTATGCACAATTAAATGGAAAAGTTTTCCTTGTGGTCAGGCTGCGGAAAACCAAAAAATGCATGAGCAAAAAGCTTTGCGACTGCTGATTTCTCTGCTTTGCTTTGCCATCCGATCCGATCTCTATTCTCGTGTGACCATCATTTTTCTCATTTTCGTTGCAGGTGGGCAGTGTCGACGGTGATGACGCGTCAGAATCTGGTGCCTCGTGAGCTTCAGGCCAACGATGACGGTGACGACCTCAGCCAGTTGCCCATTTCGGCCTTGATACCCTACTGGGACATGGCCAATCACAGGCCCGGGAAGATAACCTCCTACTACGACAGCGGTGTCCACCAGATGGACTGCACGGCCCAGGAGGCCTGCAAGGCTGGCGAGCAGTTCTTCATCTACTACGGCGATCGGTCCAATGCCGATCTGCTGGTCCACAACGGGTGAGTGCATAGCGGATGTCCCAATGATCGCTTTTTTAAAGCATCACTCTCTTGTTTCTCACAGTTTCATAGATGTGAACAACCGGAAGGACTACGTAAAGATCCGTCTGGGCCTGGGTCTCTCGGATGCCCTGGTCGAGCAGCGGGCCAAGATTCTGGCAAGACTTAACATAGAGCGGAAGGCGGAGCTTAGGGTGCTTCCGGCTCCCGATTACATCTCCGGCGAGCTGCTGGCCTTCGTGCGCGTCTTCAACATGAGCGCCGACCAGCTGGAGCACTGGGGCAGCGACTTGGAGCGCGCCGTAGATCTGTTGCACATCGACTGTGCTCTGGAGACGGACCATGAGACGCGCACATGGCAGTACTTGTACCAGCGGCTCAAGCTGCTGCTTGGCGTCCTCGAGGCCACTTTCAAGGAGTCGGACGAACTTCAGCAACTAGAGAAAATACAGCTTACGGAGAAGCAGGAGGTTAATAAGGAGCTGCCGGGCCAGGAGATCGATCTACTGGTGGTGCAGTACCGCCGGCTGGAGCGTCGCATTCTCACGGATGCCCTCGAGTATGCCCAGGAGCGGTGCAAGGTCTGAATTGCTCAGACCCCCTAAGATTAACCAAACCAGATGAATTTACTTTCGAGAGCATCACTTACGAAATTCGAGTGGCCATCTAAGCAGGAATAACTCATTTAGCAGTAACGACAAACCGCTTTTATTTAAGGTTAATTTATTTTAATTTCAGTTGGTTTTTTTTTTGCAGTAGATCTTAGTCGTGAAACCAAAAGAACACTCCTTCATTTATCGGTTGTAGGCGGTATTGATCGACTATCAATTGCACTAAACCGTCTTCACGATAATCTATATTGAAGTCTGTCTCGATCTTAACTCTTTTGTGCACAGCATAAGCCACGCACAGAAATATGATTATGAATCTAGTTTCTAGCGATTATTTGTTTTGTTTTGTTTTGCTTTTTTATTTTGATTTCATTTAATATATTTTTTGTTTTCGAAAATAAATATGAAATTAAATACAGCACTGCGCCGTATTTTTTAATAAAACGGGCAAACAAAATTGAGTGAGACAGCACACAGATCCGCTTTCAATTTTCCAAACAGCTATGCCAAATGACAGAGAGGGCAAAAGTGAGTACATACTCATAATCACTGACTTTCGCCGCCCATAACAGCCAAACGAATAAATCCAAGCAAACCAAACTTTTTCCCCAGATAAATACTTGTATTCTCAACAAATAAACAATAGTTGAAAGAACGAATAAGAATTTTTCACAGAATGAAAAATAAAAGACCAAAAGAAAGACCAACGTGCTACTATGTAAAGCATCTTCAGACCATAGTAATATGAAATAATATGAAATATTGAAATATTATGATAGCTCGTTGG